CAGCACCAGCGAGCTGCACCAGCAGCATCCGGCCCGCGGCCCCGATATCCAAACTGGGGTTTTGTCACCATTTTGACAGCCCCGTTTCCCACCCTGGGGCTGGCAATAAAGGAAGGGGCAGCTGCTTCCAAAATCACCCATGTAGGTTGTATTTTGGGGGTATTTCTTGGTTTAATTGTTTTTTATGTGGTTGCCGCCTGTTGACTGATGCGAGACGTTTGAAGGAAAAAACCTGCTGATGCCCATCAGCTCCTGGCCGCGTTTCTCAGTGGAGAGGAAGCTCTCCCATAGCTGGAGGGTCCCAGGGGAGAGCGGCTGGGAGGAAACGGAGCGCAGAGCAGAAACCTCAGCCCGAGCCGGCACCTCACCGCGGGCTGCAAGTGGAGGGATTGGGTCATGCATTACGTTATTAGACAGAAATATTTTTGCAGCTTCCAGGGAGAGGACATCTGGCTGTGCCCATCAGCATAACTCCTCCGAGTAGCATCTCGGTGACCCTCACCCCTGTCCCACTCCGCATGAGCCAGGGGGAAGGGGACAAATCCTCCCCATATATCCCGACCCGCTGCGTACGGTGGACACAAAACCCAAAAGCCAAGGGGTTTCCCGCAGCCCAAAGCGCTCAAATTACTGTATTTGCAGCCAATTTGGGAGTTCAATTCACAGGTCTACGCCACCGTTCAGCTGCGTCAGCCCCCACCCCGTCATGGAGCACCTTCGAAGCGATGCTCAAATTAAAGCACATAATTCAGCTCATTTCTAGCAGTTCCGGCCAGCCGGGAGCCAGAGCAGGGCATGAACCCCAGCACCTCAATACGCCTCCGTGACCTGGTGTCCGCAGGCTACGTGGGCTGCGAGGGGTCCCCAAACCGGACCGTAGCCTTCCCTGGAGCCCTTGAAGAAACCTAGCCCAGGTCCCGAGCCCTCGGGCCCTGCCGCGATGCCAAGAAACAACAGCCGAGGCCAACGCTCCGAGCTCAGCCCCTGTCCCGCTGCCTTTTTGTGCAAGAGCCTGAGGGCCAGAAGAGAAAAACATGCCAACGGCCAACCCCGGCGAGCAGCAATTTCAGCAGCCGCGCCACCGAGTTAATGAATTTCCCCAGCAAGCGGCTGTGGAAAACAAAACCCAGGGCAGAGATGGACAAGAGGAGATAGTTCGCGTTGAACGGAGACTGGGCCTGGAAAGTAATTCAAGTAGAGGGATGATGAATTGCAAGCCCCGGTTGTAAAGCATTTGTAAAGTCTGACTCAGATGGGAGTTTTATTGCAAGAGCCGGAGTATTATAGTTTATTGCTGCCGTTGGAGCAGCTGCTACCGTTCGAGCTGAATTGCCATGTCTGTTATAAATCCCCTCGTTGAGTTACTCACGAACGTCGGCTTTGGAAAAGTTCCTGAGAAACGCGCCCTGCCGCTCGGGCGTTCGCTGCCGTAGCGGGAGCCCAAGCCCAGCTTCCCGTTCTGGTGGCCCCCAGCCACCCATCCGACAAGGGCCGGCTTTTCGGAGCTGGGCGAGACGGCCCGGGACAAGAGGGAGTCATCGAAGACATGGACCCAACTTGTGATGGAGCGCAACGCGGCTTCCTGCCGAAGCCAGGCAGGAGCACAGGTCGGAGCGGAAAGGGCTGGACAAGGTGGAGGACGTTCGCTGGGAATCGTGCCGATCGCCGAGCCGCCACGCGAGCGTGGAAGTAAGACCTACCAGCCCGACTGGATCGTAATCCCGGCCCATTACCTCCGTTAAACGCGATAAACCGCCGGCGACGTTTTAGCGGCCGCGCACGAACGAGTTCATCGCTCTGACACTTTTCCTTTGGGCATCTGCCCCCGAAAACAAGATTTTCCTCCGTTGCCTGGATTCACTGAGAGGGCTTTAAGCACATTAGTAAATAATTTATGCTTCCTCTATAAACGGGAATCGAAAGGACGCTCGATGTGCTATTTAGCCGGAAATCGCTCTGCTCTTTACTATTTAATGAACCTGCTGGCTGCCAACGGAGGTCATTCCAGCAGCTCGCGCCCCGGCCTCGCGGCTTCGCCCGCCGGAAAGGGGAAAACTTTAACGGGCAGCTCAAGGAGAGCACTTTGCCCCGGCACCATCACTTGAAACCTATCAGCTTAAGCGAACGCTTCCTAATCACCTTTCAAGCTCCGGGAAACAAGCCGGAGGGCAGGAGGCGGCCGTTTTCCACCGCGGTCGGCGTTTCACGCCGATTCGGGGCGCGTCGCCCTCGGAAAGCTCGCTATGCCTTCTCCCCGCTGCGCTGCTACCTGCGGCTTTGAGCTCCTTTCGGTGGCTGGGTATAATGAGGTGATTAAAAGCGGTAATTACAGCAGGGAAAAAAAAAAATCAGCGCTGGAAACACCCTTTCTACGTTCTTTACGAAGACGCCACGCTGCATCCGAGACTCAGCGCCGAGCAGCTTCTGCTCCAGCCCACATGCACATCCCGGCGGTGCCTGGGGACGGCCACAGAGGCCCAGCTCCGGCGGTGGCACCTCGGGGTGCTGCGGGCAGGCAGACGGGGAGGAAAATGGCATGCACAGCGCCGAAGCTGTCGGCTGGCCGACAAGTCACGGAGCCCTCGACCCATCGTTCGGTGCCCGGCGTGCTGGGGCCAGTGTTTCTCAGTCTAGTTTTGCCTTCTCCGTGGACAGCCCACCACCGGGAGCCCTCAGCTCAGCCCACGTTCCTCCCCGTTCCTCCCAAACGCTCCCGTCCTTCCTGACCACCGTGAGTTGTATAAGCTAACACAAACCCCTGTGTTTTCTCTCCTTGCACCCAACCTTCGGGAAACACTGCCTAAGAAAACCCGCCTGGACACGATCCTGCGCAACGTGCTCTAGACAAGGCTGCTGGAGCAGGGGGGTTGGAGTAGACGATCTCCAGAGGTGCCTCCCAACCTCAACCACTCTGTGGTTCTGTAAGAGCACAACTCGATAAATACACTTTTAAAATGCCTCCCTCCACGAACGGAAAACGTCAGCATGAGCCCCAGCTCCAACACGGGAGCGCCGCAGGAGGCCAGCTGCCATCCCACGCTGGCACGGCAGC